GCTGTGCTCCGCTCAGCGCTTCCCGCAGCCGCGGGAACGAAACGTGCCGGGACACCACGCCAGTGTCGGTATCCTGAAACTACTACCATGTCGGGGTGGTATTTTTATCTGAGCGGATCCGAGCACTATACTGATTTACCAGTTTAGGATGTCAATCATTTTGTGCGGATTTTTTTTGTCCCAATTTGACAAAAAACATCTGTTGAACGAAGTCGAAGGGGAAATAAATCCCACTTGCGATGAGCTACGGTGCAGTCAGCATTTTGTCTGTTTTTGTTTGTTTTGTTCCTGGTGTGTTCTTGGGTGAAGCCAAAATATTGCAGCCCGAAATGACAGGGTGACAGCGGAAGGTTTTGTTTCCAGGCACTATCATGCTAGGAAGCACACTTGGCTAGTAGTTCGCTTGTAACTTTTGCAACATATTGGAAAGGCTTCAGGCAGCTGTATTTTAGCTTAACCCCCTCCAAATATTTTGACCGCTCAAATCGAGGTCTAAGATGTGCCAGGCTGGGCTGGAAGACGGATTCTCTGATACTTGCTTTGACTGTTCTTTGAAATGACTCGATAGGAACGTTTGTTGAGGGGGACTAAATACACTTGGTCGCATGCAACGAAAAATGAGATGATAGATGGGATTAGAGAACGTGTTGAAACCCTGTGAACAGGATTTCCCTTCGATATCTAAACGCTCTAAATAAATGTTACAACGTTAAGTTGCAGGCTCCTTTATCTTGCCTTTCAACTTGTTCGCGCTGTCTGAAACCCCAATTAAATAATTTTTTTTTTTCAAGGAGCACACTCGATTTAACGTCTTAAGATCGGTATTATTTCAAAGCTAGATTATTTCTCTTGAAACATCACTAATATTATTATAGATAAATATAAGCCTGGCGGAATAAAGGAGTAAGTATAGGCTCATGTACTTCCACAGACTACGAAGCTCACTGCGCTAGGATGTCGATTCCGCACGCTCTCTTAGGAGCACTTACAAAATTTGGTAGATGCTTATTTCCAGAAGATGGCATGAGCAGGAACACGCTGCTCGAAACACCACGCTCTCCGACACAGCTCTGTCTCGGTAGCAGTGACGGGCGCACACAAAAAGCGCCCCGGGCGATTTCTCAAGTGACCGGCGATGTGAGCACACAAGAAGAGAGCCAGAAGCCCGCTCCTCTCCCGGGTCCGGCAGAGCCCCGGGCCAGTGGGGTGCTTGGGCCCGGAGCCGGCCCCCCCTCCCCCCCCGCGGCGC